GGCGAGCAAAGCTGAGGCAGGCGGTGCTGAGCAGCCCTGCAGCTGCTGGGACAGAGCCAGGGAGGAGCAGAACAGGATGGACCCCACCATGGAGCTGGCTGAGGACCCCAGGTGGGTGCTGGGGACCCCTGTGCTGCTTTGCAGCTGCGCAAATCCCTTTTTGGAGCAGGATTTGGGGTTATTGCCTCTGTAAAGGAAAGGAGATGCCTGGGAGTGAGGCGAGGTGGCCCAGGCACCCAGGGGATGCTGTGGGTCTGGGTGTCCCCATATCGCACTCCCCTCCTCCTCCGCAGGTTCCCCCGCCCGCTGGTGGAGATGCTGATCAGGAATTTCAGCGTGCCCACAGCCTGCTTCTCCCTACCTCCCACCTCCCGGCAGCTGCTGCAGCGTAGGTGGGGGGACTGGGTGGGCGGACGCTCCTCTCACCTCTGGTGGGAGTGGGACAGGGATGGAGGGAGCACAGGGGCAGGCAAGGAGCAGGCCTGATGCAGGCAGATGCTGCTGGGGTCTCAGCCTCCCACCCCATAGCACTGCCTGTGGGGATGGGGGTGTCCCAGGGAAGGCTGGTAGCAGGTGACAGGGGATACAGGAGCAGTGAGGCAGAAGCATCAGTTCTAGCATGGCCAGACGTGATGAGAGCATGGCCAGGGGCTTCCCAAACCTGTGGAGCAGTGGGTCAGGTGGCAGCTCCCTGCCACAGTGGCCTCCAAGGGGGACAGAAGAGGATGGAGCTGGCTTCTCACCCCTCCCCGGCAGAGCTGGACACAACCCAACTCACTATCATGGGCCTCGCCACCATCATGACTCTGCTGTCGGTTGCCATCTTTGTGGAAGAGGCTTTCTACCTCACCCGCAAGATCCGCTGCCCCATCAAGATGAAGACCCTCCGCTGGAGCAGCTCGGCCCCCACGGTGAGCTGAGGTGTGGGACCAGGGCCACCTGCGGGCTGCCAGGTGGTGGGAGGCGGGGAGCAGCAGTGTGCCCAGTTTGCGTCTCCCCAGGTCGTGTCTGTGGTCAGCTGCTTCGGGCTGTGGATCCCGCGCTCCATGATGGTGGTGGAGATGGCTACCACGTCGTGAGTATCGCCTGCCCCGTGGCAGAGGCACTAGGGAGCCTGTGGGGCCTGACCTGCCTTCCTCTTTCTCCTCCTCCTCCCCAGGTACTTCGCCATCTGCTTCCACCTCATGATGCTGGTCATGGTGGAGGGCTTTGGGGGAAAGGAGGCGGTGCTCAGCACCCTGAAGGATGTGCCCATGGTGCTCAGCACTGGGCCCTGCTGCTGCTGCTGCCCCTGCCTGCCCCGAATTACCATGAGCAGGTGAGGGAGAGCAGGGGCAACCCCCTGCCCCTGGGGGAGGGCTTCCACCCTCCTTCTGCTGGGTGGAAGAGACATCCTCGGGCAGGGACTTGGGGACCGCAGGGTGCTACTGGTGTCTCTTGCTGTGCCAGGAGAAAGCTTCAACTGCTGCTGCTGGGCACTCTCCAGTACACCTTCTGCAGGGTGGTCGCTGTCTTCCTGGGGCTGGTCCTGGCCACCGACGGCAACTACAAC